CAGATATGCAAAAGTTATTTTAAGTTATTTTAAGACAGCAGTACTAGTAAAACTGTGCTCTTACTCTGTAATATTACTGTATATTCAGCAGAAGAAGTGATGCAAGTGAGAAAAACAGGAAGTCTGCAGAGTCTCTGCTAAAGCAGCTCAGGACTGAGCCCGACGCGGAGGAAAGCAGAAGTTTATTTAACCGAGATGGTCCCGACTTACCGACCTGCCGAGTTAGCTGTGGGGCTGGTTACCAGCTTTCAACATGGCGGTCACTCTTATGGTCAACTTCTGTACACAGTTTGTGTTTTTGAAAGTTATTAAACATGTTTGCTGCAAAATCCTTCAGCCTGGGGACGTGTCAAAGGAACCATTAACAGCCCAGGATTCATGCCCAGTTTCATTAAACTTCAGTGCACACCTGTATTTAAACTCTTCATGTAACACATCAGCACGAGGGCGTGGGGATGCACATCAGCCTGAAAATCCTACTCAGTGTTTTATGTGTTTCTTTATGACCGTGCTCCCTGCTATTCCAAATAAATCCTGGGAAGTCCTGATGCTCAAGCATCCAGGTAAGGAAATCCAAAACATGGATTCTGTTCATCTGGACGTTTTCAGCGGGAGAAACGTTTCATCATCATCATCCAAGTGACTTCTTCAGTCTCAGCTGACTGCAGGTTTCCAACCTTACACATAATGACTGACACTGGCACCAAACTATGGGCCGTGAGGTCAGTTTCATGCTCACTGATATGCATGACTATTGATCAACGGTGATTTATCAGTCGTCCTGGAAACACAGGTGAAGCACCAGGCAGCAAAGTGGCATTAAACAGGCCCAGCTCACCTGTGTAAGAGCTGCACCAGCTTTCAGAGCACCAACAGCAACAAGCTTTTATTTACAGAGCTTATCTACACAACTGACAGCACAACAGGGAAGAAGGAAAAGAGAAGTAATGAGAACAGACGAGTTTTTATATCACTGCTCCAATAATACTGCAGTAAAAGTACTCTGTTAAAGGAAACGTGGGTTTAACATTTCCGTCACTAACAGACAGAAATAATCCGTCTGTTATAAAATACTCGAGTTTGAATAAAAACTCATTTAGAAAGCCTTCTCCTTTCCCCTCCAGCAGCTTTGAGCTCTT